GGCCCACCTTCACTTAGGGCGGGCACTTGGCTTGCTGTGGCCTTAGCCCAGAACATGCGATGTCTGACAGGGCCCCTTGAGGGCTTGTTCCTCACACAAAGGTCTCTCTCAAGTTCAATCAGCAGCACCAAAATTCCCAGGATCCCAACCACGTTATCAACATCCACGAACCAACTATTTACAGAGTTTAACCTCGAGCTCACAGCTATGGCGCAGGCCTGCACCCAACCTCTCAAGCCTACCAATTGCCATCAACCCTCCTGAACCCAACACACCACTCAGCAGCACCATCTCGATGCCCACTGCAGATGAAGTGTCCGCTCAACAGGGCAGGGTACCAGCGCTTGATGAAGAAGAAGATGGTGGCCTGACGCAGGGCTGCCTCAACCTGAGGTAGGTAGCCCCAGCTATGGTGCTGTAGGTAAGATAACGCAGCACCAAGCACTTCATGGGAAAAAAAAATGACAAGACACAACCCGGTTTTCCTTGCCCTCGACACTTTTGTAGACTCCTGTTTTCCCTCACTCGACAGCCTACAGCTTAAGAACAACAGCCTATAGCCTAGGACCGAATCTAGACCTAAAATTGGCAAAAGGGAAGGACAGAAACGACCTACAACTCAAGGGCAGAAAAGGACAAAACAGAGAGGCCCAGTGGTTCTATGACTACCCTACAGAGACTCTCACACTCAGAGTTAGAGATCGAGCCCAGTAAGGCTCACACATACAAAGAAACACACAACCACGGTACAGGCCACGGGATCAAGTCCTGGAGAGCTCAAAACCAGCCAAAACAGACCTGTGCCCGGACCCGGACGGTCCGAATTAAATAAATAAATTAATTAATTAAAAAAAAGCCACAGTACTGGTTGATAATGTGAGGATTGAGCCCTCAAAGGGGCCTTGCCGTGATGTACATGTTCTGGGCTAAGGGCCCCAGCAAGCCTCGTGCCCGCCCTAAGTGAAGGCGGGCCAGCAAATCAACAAGAGCCCCTTTGTTCAAACATTTCACGAAGTGGGGTCCATACAGTTGCTGCACGCCAGTTGGTTGGAGTGCACTAAGTACCGGATCTCTGCAAATGCAGCAAGACCAGGGCCCCAGAATTGGTTAGGCCCTGGGCACATAAATGTGAGGCCAACATCGCATGCTGGATATAGAGGCCGAAAATGCCAATGGGAAACCAGTCCACTATCTGAATCTGGACGCAGGCTTTGATGAAAGAGGCGCAACTATATTTCGTGGGCCCCAACCACATTGGGCCTGGGTACAGGTACTGAGGCCCAGACCCAGGCTGAAGAGAGGCCGCCCACACGAAACACTGGCATATGGGCAGAGAGGGCGAGTGAGTGGGGATCTCGGCCATTGCGAGCAATGCCGGCACGCTGAAGCACTGCGAGGTGCTGCGCTGGTGCTGCGCTGCGCTAGGCTGAGGTAGAGGCAGGCTGGCGCTAAGCGGTAGGGCGCAGCCTGGGCGCAGGGCGCTGGCGGCCATAGCCGGGCTGCCTGTGGGCGCAGAGGAGGTGAAGGGCGAAGGTGGTTCTTCGGAAGTGAAGGGCGCTGTGTGGGATAACAAGGGAGAGTGAGGGAGAAGAGAGAGACGTACCTGGTGGAGAGGAGGTCGGCATTGGTGTTGACGTCATCACTC